TTTTAAACATTTTTCAAAACTTTTATTTTCACATGGGTATTTATTTTGATTCAGATGATTTGATTAGGTGATAAATTTACTTTGATCAGATAAATAACACCGAGGAACTGAGTTTTAACTTTTTGTTTGTCACATGAATCAGATTATATGAACTTGACAGCATTTTTCTTGTAGAAGCCGAATACATAATCAGATTTTTTCAGGCAGTAAAATTTTGTGACGTATCGTTAAAATCTGAATACGTATGAGAAAAGAAATCATCGAAAAACTGAAGTATACTTCTTTTAGTTGGGAGTAGCCTAAGGAATATTATAGCAAAGTAAGCCAGCATACTGGGATTGTAAAGCATTTTTGTATAATTTCACAGTATCGAAATTTTCTGATGAAAAAGCTCCGACTTGGTTCATCTCTTTTTGCTCTGAAATTGGTGAGGAAGAGATCTGGGTGGGAAAGCAAAAGTGAATTTTTAAAAGCGTAGCGTCTACTATGATTTCGTAGGACTTCGAAGGATCACACCTATCATTCTGCAGTTTTTGAAAGCAAACTGCCGTGCATCGCTTTCAAGTAAATCTAACTGATGATATAATTTTTGACTCAAAAGTAATTGCTTAGTTTGTGATTCTACAAAAATACTCTTCTTTTATTGTACCATCGCTTATCCTCAGAGTATTACTTTTGAAGCATGCGAATCTTAGCCATTTTATCGATTACATTGTCATAACTCCAAGTCTATTGTTCGGGGAAAGAATATAATTTTTTACAATTCACAGTGCACTGTTAATAACAAACTTTTACATGCTTAGTGTAAACAAACAAATATATATTACATGATTAATTTGTTTTATCAGCTCAGTGTGCTTTATATGCTTAGTGTCATGCTTATTTAACTTTAATGCTTTATGAACTTTATATGCTTAGTCATGCTTAGTTAATATGCTTTCGTGTCAACCGCTGCCCCGATTCTGAAAGAATTTTTCCTGGCTTTGTTATCCGAGTCTCCCTTCAACAATTTTTCCCAATAAACTTTTTCTAGAAGAATAATAAAACTTCTATAGCTTTCTTTCGCACTGGCAGCTTGAACTAATGGTACTGATAAGAAACTGGCTCCTTTTACTAGGAATTACCATTTTTTATAATATAACAGTTAATTAGAAATCTGGAGCTAACGTGTTAAAAGAACTCACAACTATATGTGCAGCTGTTTCTCGTAATTAAAACTCTAATGGACCTATAAACGTAATTTAAATTTCAGTATACATACAAATTCTAAGGAAGTTTTTGCATACTGTCAAGTGACATCATTAAAGTGTAGGAAAGAAAGCAAAATCCTGAGTGTATTCATTACATGGATGAATAAAAACTAGCATTGCCTATTCTGAGACCAAATCTTTGTTGGCTACTGAAATTACTGACAACCACCTTTCTAATAATGCAAAGCAAATTTTTAGGAATGTACCTTCCCATTACTGAGAATCGAAGAGCTCTATGGTAAAGGCTCCTTTCATTTGATGTACATTGCGCCCCCCCCCAAAAAAAAGAGTTTCAGTTTTATATCTCCCGTTCTACTGGGGCGATTGACGAAATTCAAACTGCGTTTTGCATGTCTCAAAAGCGCAACTTACGCTATTTATATATAGCATTATTCTAACATAGGTACTTTGACCCCAAATCGAGCATTTTTCTGAAATGACATGCCAATTTTTTTCCATATTTCGATTCTACGACTCAAATTATGCCAAACTGTCAAGTTTTGTAAAAATCGCTCGAGTAATTAAGACACAATAACACGCCGAACAAATACTAATTCAGAAGTCAAACAACAAAAATCAGCGTTATATTTTCAAAATTTTCACAGGACTAGTTTCGATGGTTTTACCGAACCACCATCCTCAGATGCAAAACCGCAAATGAACAAGATAGGAAATAATGATCAAATAAGAAAAGAAAGCCTGGACAAGAGTAAGCAAGTGGCGCCATCTATTGGTGAAACCAGAAATAAAACATAATTTCTTTAAAGGCCGAAGGCAAAAATGGATTGGAATTAGGATCGTTCCAATCCATCTTTTTCTAGTTAATTTTCTGTTCCTAGTTAGTTTCTGTTTCTAGTTAGTTTTCTGTTCTAGTTAACGATCCTAATTCCAATCCATCTTTGCCTTCGGCCTTTAAAGAAATTATGTTTTAGTTCTGGTTTCACCAATAGATGACGCCATTTGCTTACTCTTGTCCAGGCTTTCTTATCTTATCTAATCATTATTTCCTTCTTGTTCATTTGCGGTTTTGCAGCTGAGGATGGGGGTTCGGTAAAACCATTGAAACTAGTCTGTGAAAATTTTGAAAATATAACGTTCATTTTTGTTGTTTGACTTCTGAATCGCTCGAGTATTTTTTAAAAAATTAGCTCTCAAGATTTTAGCTCCTCAATGTTAATTGAATTGGATATATGTTTAGAAATATGTATTTTTTTATTAAATTTACTTGATTCCTTCTTCCAGAATTCGAAATGAGGCTTATTGCAAATACAATTCACACATTTTTTGATTTATTTTTTAAATTTGTATTTTAAATATTTTTGATAAATTTTTCGAAAAACATTTTGTATTATAACCTATAAAATTTTTAACATCATCTTAAAGTAGATGTATTTCTAGACACACCTGCAAAAAATTAGAGTTTTTATTCAAAATTTTCTAAGATATACTGACGCGTTTTGAAATTTGGCATTTTTTTTAGCGATAATAACTTCAAATGTGGTTTACGCACTTTGTTAAAATTATTTGAAATTATGAAAGATGACTTTTTTTCCATTCGTCTGCAATGCAAAACAGGAAAGGAAAATTATGTTCCTATAAATTAAGAAGTTCGTTAAGTAAATTATGCTTGGCGCAAAGTTAAAAAAATGCGCCAAGATAAATTTTTAAATTTCTCCGTAAATTTCGCACCAGGTTTTGCAAAATTTAATATTTAAGCATAATTTGAGACTTAGAATCGAAATATGGAAAAAAATTGCATGTCATTTTAGAAAAAGTCCGATTTTATGTCAAAATACCTATGTTAGTAGAATGCTATATATAAATCTAATATATATCCTAAGTCGCACTTTCGAGACAAGCAAAACACAATTTGAATTTCGTCAGTCGGTCCAGTACAATGGAAGATATAGAACTGTCCCCCATCCCCCCGCAGTGTACTTTCCGCTACTGAGAGTAGGAGAGTTGTGGGGTAACGGCTTCTTTAATTTTTTCCCTTTACTTTTATCGGCATTTATACGTATTTTTCGGATTCTCTTACTGTTATCTACTGTGATCTTTTTTACCATCCTATTCTGACATCATTTAGTGAATGAGAAAAAAATGTGAATTCGTACTACATTTAAAATAGAGTTAAAAGGGATTATTTTTTATTTCATACTATAACATGATATAATGTTATCATAAATATCGCTGAATTTTTTAAGTATTTACGCTTATAAGTGAATGATATAAGAATTCAGATATAATTTACTGATTGTTATAGTTTATGAAACGATTATCATTAACTATCATTTAATATCGAAATTATAAATTAATAACAGTGCATAGATAATTTATCATTATTTAAAAATTCCTAATTCCATAAATCAAATAAAATCTGCAGCAGAAAAATACCGAGAGGCCAAAAAGATATTGCATTACAATTGCTACCTACTCATGAGAGGAAAATTATTCAAAACACACATTAGTTTTTCATTTTTAATGGAAAACACTTTCCTCAATAGCAAGTAGATTTATACCTGTAGATTTATACCCTTAAATACTCATTATTTAAATCTTGTTTATATATGTGATATATCGGATGACGTTTAAACCAGAACATTATTTTTATTTCAAGAAAAAATGTTCAAAAATAAGCCATTTTAACTGAAAATATTAAAAGCACCAATTTCAATCAGCCAAATTACATTCAGTTGTAAGCGCTGGGGGGGTAAGAATGTTATAACACATTATATCATAAGATTTGAAACTTGTATGAAGAATACAAATTTAAGTTTTACTTTCATTATTTGAAATCAAATAAAGAAAAGGTGAAGGTTCCGTTTGACGTCATGTGTTTATTGTATGCATATACAGGATAAAGTTGCTCACTAGAGAGATATTATGAAATATAATAAAAGTAATGAGATAACTAAATACAGAAAATAGTTATAAATAAAATAAAATGACCAATTTCAATCACACAAGTTATGCTTTACGTGCGGCCTAGACTATTTTGATTACGTAAATCCTTATGGTATGCGAACTTTTCCTCACTCTATGCTATTGCTACTTTTGAAATCTATACAGAGTTTACTTATAAATACAAGCTGATACTTATGAATATGATTTTAATTTTTGAATTCCTTAAACCAGTATAGTTCCTAATTTTTGCCATACGTAATGTATAAATCATGTAAATAAATTTTTAAGGGAATCATTGAACTGCGTAGAAATGCGTAGATTTTTATCTATGTATTTAATTAAAAAATTAACAAGCAGCATGTTAAAAACATAAACTGTAACCAATGCATTTGTATATAGTACATTAATCTATAAAATATTTGTAATTTTTCAGATGTTTTACACATTGATCTTATATGTTTCCCTATATGTTTTCTTTCTTATTTTGAGCCTCTGCATGACTTCTAATATCTTAATCTTAAATATCTTAATCCAAAATATCTTAATCTACATTATATTAAAATTACATTGCTTTCATACTTTTTAAAAGCTATTGCAAATATTTTGTTCTTAGTTTTGAATTTAGTAATTCCTTTTCTCCGGAAAACATTGTAACTATTAAATGACTTAAATTCAAATATTTTTTTTTATTAGCAGATAATAGGAAATGACTCATAAATCATGCAAGCTCTTCATTCACTACAGAATGAATGATAACTACCCTCCGTTTTAAATCGCTTCCTTAATAATTGCAAACTCAAACCACTATCAAAAAATAATAAGGGGAAAAATAAATTTTCAAATTACCTGATGTCACATTTCGGATGCTACGTTCTTGAGGAGAATGGAATCCGCCGTATTCTTTGCACACAATTTCCAAAACCTCTGCTAATCGCCAGCCACAGAGTCTAATTCTAGCATATTCTGCGGCAGAAAGAAGACCAACAGCCAAAATCCACGTTAAGATCAACTTCAAATGCGTGAGACGCATGACTGTTAGCCGTACTACAAAAGAGGACTGATCAGCAAATGAAACTAATCTCCAGTGTTTGAAGAGAGAAGCTTCTGAACTGGGTAAGAGAAGAAACAGCGAAAAAATTTGAAATGTAAGTAATTAATCTTCTAAGACTGAATAAAGTCTATTATAGGTAAAAGATAAATGCTTGTATGTATATATATATAGCTTTTGCATAGAAAGCTATATTAAGCAGAATAAGAAAGATGTCATCATTTTTCTAGAATTATAATTGGATATCTGATTACAATATTTCATCTTTCCGGCGTTTAACGACGATCATTATAATCTTTACCTGTATAGGCTCAATATTGTTTATTTTTTCATTTTTTTCGCAAACTCTTGCGTTACATTGTCATTATACGTTATTTGACGCTAATTTGTTTGCCTTTTGGAGTGCCACCCAGCCGGTATAGCGGATAGCATCCCTGATTGCTGTACCGATGGGCTCGGATTTGAATCCTGAAGAACGCTTGGATGTTTGTAAGCGTATAGTATCTGTACATCGAGGGGGTACTCAAAATACACGGCAAGCTGAAAGTTCTCTCAAGAAGTTGGTGGTTGAGGCATAGAACAGGGAGACCCTCGGAATGCCACTGGAATTTTCTCTCTCGAAATTGAGACGAAACTGCACACTTAGTATGGCGGGATTATCCAATGGTGAAATTCTGATGTCCCCTTTAACTTGCTCCTGCACCTGTCTTTTAGAGTATTGTAAGAATGAATGTTAGGGACTGATATATTCCAATAATAGAAAGCATTTTCTTCTTGTTTCAAGATATACAGAAATAAAAGTACAATCAGTCAAGCAATGATAATTTAGCAATGCATGTATTATAAATGTAAAGGAAGATAACTTTTTGATATAAATTAACTATAATTTTATGTAAGGTTTTTTGAAAGAATTTCGAATCATAGTAAACTCTTTTATTTCTCTTTAATCATCAGTGGATTCTGTTATTTAAAAATATGTTACTGGGTTTTATAATTTTTTTTACTTTGTGCAGTTAATTATTCAGCATTCTTTCTTTTTTATTATAAAAGTTGCAGAGAGCTTGCTTCATACTAAAGATTTATGAATTAGTTTACAGTTGAAAATTATTATGGCTGATTTGGTTATTTGATTATGGTATAGTACTCGAGAGCTATTTCTCTAGGAAGGTATGCCTTTATGGAGAACTTTCAAAGGATTCCTTTACTGACAAAACACATTTAAAAATCCATTAAAACAACAGTACAGCCAACACGCTTGCATTCGTAAAATAAACTGCGATAAAACTACTAGCGTTTCGCTGCTTTAGGTTATGTCACAGGTCAGGTTAAATCTTCTCGGACCAATTTTCGGGGCCTTACTAATTTATAAGAATGCCTGTTGGTTGCAGCGGAAGGAGTATGCTGAATGAATCTGAATTCAGTTTTTAATAAACTTCCCGTACATTCCATGCATTTTAGTAATAATTTTTTTAAAAATAATATACTTACTTGTAAACATATATGTACCGTATGCTAGGTAACAGACTCCATATTTTTCTCTTTTCTGGGGAAACTATTGAATGTTTACAGAGCTTTCTTTTGAGATCATTCAAATCATTATTCAGAATAATTGTATATCTACTAAGATCTTACTTACCTTTGTAATGATTAAAGCTGATTCCGTAAAACGCAGTGTTTTCCTAAACTAAATGTGCTAAATTTGTAGCATAATTTCAACTGTCAAAAACAGTAAGTAAAGATTTTAATTATCGAATTATTTCGTTCGATTGAACATCAGACCGTTTTCCAACTACCAATCGTTTCGGTAATTTTTATTCAGTAATTTACGTCACTTTATTAGGGCCAAAGTTTTTGATAAACATGGGGTAAATATAAGCAATTAGTTTAGTAGTTTTGGGAAATTTTTAGCATCATGGATAAACTGCCTGAAAATGCATGAAAGGGATGTGCCCGGAGTTATGCAAAGAATTTGAGCAAGAACAACCCATTAAACTTTCAGGCTAACCAATGCAATAAAACTGGAAGATATAAATGCGTAGGATATGGAGAAATTACTAGAGTTTTTGAGTTTAGTCGAAATCTGCAGCCAAACAAAGGAAGACCTACAATGAATTGGCAAAACAGAACAAGATAAGAAGAAGCGGACGGGACACCAGTACATTATCAAAGGTTTTACGGGTACAGTCTCGCTTTCCTTCTGTAAATATATTTTGGTTATAAGTTTTAAAATATATTTTCTTAAAATAGGAGACTTGTGCTTATACTAGTTAATAGTTTCGGGCACAATACAGAGTGGTGATGATGAAGACAATGGTATAATTTAGGATTTTATCCCTTTAGTGCTCTGCAAAATTCACAGCAAGACCAGTTTTTTGGTGCCGCTAACAGCCTTTATTTTAATCAGCATGCCAGCGGACAGTAGTAACAACTCTTACTCTCTTATTCATAATTCTCTTATCTTTACAATAAAACTACTTGCCACTCAAATTTGCGTAAATTCTATAATAAACTAACCTCGTCGCGAAAAGAGGCAGAAGAAGCGAATTAAATAGCATTTCATTAGTAAAACTTAAACATAAATGCCAGATATTTACTGTCGTACGTTCCTCTCTTCCCTTATAAAATAAGCATTAAAAGTATCTCTTTTAACACTGTTTTATTTAGCTCTTGGTTTTCTAGGAAGGAATCCTGGGCGTTAACCGAGAAATTAGTGCATTCCAAAGCAATATCTTGCTTAATAACAACGGCTTTGCTTTCGAACAACGGCTTTGCTGTGTGTTTAAGAATTGTTTTAATGGTATGGTTTTTCTTTAATTCAAGAAACAACAATTATTATTACTTTTAAAAGAGTGGCCTAACCAAGAGGCAAAAATATTTAAAAGCACTCCTCTGTAGAACTGATCTTAACTGCGTGCAAAGATAAGTATTTCATATAAAAAAAATCTTTATTAAGAATAGCATAAACTTGTTTAGAAACATACTAGTATTTCAGTTTCTTTTTAGCAATTCTTTTTTCACCCATTGGCGGCATTTAGCCGATTTATGCTTGGTTACTACTAAGGCCGGAAGTTGTGCCAGTTTATTATTGAAGCACCTAAGAGGTGGGCCTTAAGTAACTAAAGTCTTAAGTAAACTAAAGTGGTTAAACTTGGAATGTACTGATTATAATCTAAGAATGATAACCGTATATCATGTTTCACTATCATTTGTTGAAAAGTTTTATAGTTATAGGTTCATTTTCGTGCGCAGAACTTTTGAGTGATTAACACGCCCCTTCTTTCGTGCACACGTTTTATCCTTAAGGCACTCATTCGTTCTACAAGTACCGTGTAATTTACACCTATAATTTCAAACAACATTGTTTGATTTTTTAGGTATATTCGTCGTAGAAGGCGCACTTTTTTCTTTACAAAGAAGCGTGAAAGATACATATGCGATGCACTTGTTTTTTGAAGTCATATAAAGATCTTATTTTATTCTAACAAATTATTTTTAGTTTGTGAAACTTTCCATTCTCTTCTGATTTCAGTTTCCTGCCAGAATGTAAATTTTTATAACGTTTATGAAAATTCGAAGTGAGTTCGAAAGCAATATTTAAGCAGCGGTTTTAAGAGTTCGTGAGTAATAGTAGGGGAGTTAGTTTCGAATTAATGCCGCGTACTTGAAGTAGCTTTGTACGTAAACAGTTGGTGCTTAGCCACTCCCTTTAGATTATAGCTATCAGTGCTATCACAGCTATCAGTGCTGCAATTAGATATGCGAAAACATGTCAACAGGAGAAATTCTCCATACTCAGTGATCCGGCATCAAGTCTGGCGGCTATCGCAAGTCAAAACAGCCGGAGTCCATTGGTATACAGAATTCAGAAACAGCTTCTGACAATGCCTATTTCGCAAAGACCCACTTTAAAATGGGTTCCCGCTCACACAGGGATTCAAGGCAATGAAGCTGCTGACCTACTGGCCAAGCAGGCAGCCAACTGCACGGATATATTAGAAAGACCAACTAAACTTCCTTGGTCTCATATTAAGCGAACAACTTTGACAAGTCTGCTACAAAATTGGCAAAGTAGATGGACAGAGGCAGAGGTAGGACGAAGGACATTTCGCTTACTGCCAAAAGTTAACATGGAAATAAAGACCCACTGTGCTAGCCTAACACAGTTCTTGACAGGTCATGGACCATTCCCAGTATACCTGAACAGATTCAGACTTAGGGATACTCCTTTTCTGCGAATGCGGAGAGGAAGGCGACACGGACCATTATTACTTCCATTGTGTACATACAAGAACCTGGCACTTGAAGAAACCAGCGGACTGTGCCTGGGCAATGTGGACGACTAACACACTCAAAAACAGAATAGCCCTTGATAAAATAGAGAAAATCTCAGGACACTGCCTAAGCAGAAACAACCGTGGATAATATTATAATGTTTCAAAAGTTCAGAACTTAAAGCATATAAACAGAATAACGCTTAGTGCCTTGCAGTTAACAATATGTAAAAACTGTTATTAGTTTATAATATTCAACCTTGTTACTCTGGAGTCTTCCCCGCCGTGATGGTATATAATTCCGTTTGGTTCATGTCCGTGGTCGGAAGCCATCATAGCGGTGCACTCACTCACTCACTCACTCACCCACAAGTGGCGGTAAATTGTGAGCACCGAGTGAGTGAAACTTTTGTTTAGTTCAAATAAAAAGGTTATTTAAACCTTCTTCTGCAGTATCTGTTCTTCAAAGAGATAGCGAGAATTTGCTAATTAGTCTTTCCAGTAGGGTCTACCCTTGGATGATCCCGAAACAGGCAAGAAGACTCTACAGTCATTCATTCGAAGATTTTTGCCAGGCTTTCGAACAACGGTAAACTAAACTGACAGACAATAAGGAGAACAATATGTGTGCAATTGATGTGAAAGCCACAAAAACGGTTTACATAAAAAACAACAAGTCATGAAAAATCTCACCTCACCGTAACGCTTTTCCGCTTAGCGGACGGCACAAAAATTAAATCCCATAAAGAAAGACAGTGCCAAAACGTAATTTTCCCAAATGGTGTTTTCATTCATTTTCATGAGAAAGGATGGATGGACGAAAACTATGTAAAATTGCGGATAAGAAATGTTTGGCAAAGGCATTTTCCTGCCTTAAAGAATTCAGAAAGGTTTTTTAGTTTGGGGCATGTTCAAATCCCATCTGATGGATAATACGAAGAAATACGCATATGCTTAGCGGACGGTACAAAAACTAAATCCTATAGTTACTTTTAAAAGAAAGACGGTGCCAAAATGTAATTTCCAAAATTGTGTCTTCATTCATTTTCATGAGAAAGGATGGATGTAAGAAAACGATGTAAAATTGTGGGTAAGAAATGTTTGGGAAAGGCATTCTCCTGCCTTAAACAATCCAGAAAGATTTTTAGTTTGGGGCATGTTCAAATTCCATCTGATGAGTAATACGAAGAAATTTTTGAACGGGTGTAATACAGACATGGCTGTTATTCCAGGCGGATTAACTCCTTATGTTTAACCTTTAGATGTGCGTATCGATAAAGATTTAAAAAGGAAATTTAAAACGACTGTGAAATACGTAGATTTTAGAATGTGAAAAGCATTTACAAAAGAAGACAAATGTGTCATGCCAGTCTAGAAATAGTGCGCGAGTGGATAATAAAAGCGTGCAATGAAGTTAAACCCAACGTAATTCAAAAGTCATTTAAAAAATGTACTCTTTCTAATAATGTAGATGGAAGGGAAGATAACTATTTATTTATGGATCAGAGTAATAGTGATGGTGAATATGAAGCAGAATTCGA